TTGAATGTAAGTGTTTTTTTTTTAGTTTGTGGCAGGTTCAAAATAAGCTGAAATGAAAAAAAATATATTATATATATATGTATCACACGATCTGTTAAATCAACAGTCTCGTCCGATACGGTGAAATCGTGATTGTAGGTGATAACTGAATAATTACCTAAAGACAGAAAATCGAGCTAAGTTCACTAGTACAACTGTACATTTATAAATCCAATCAATGAATATTGAATACAAACACAACCTTAGAAAAGAAATTGTCTCTCTCCCATACTGGTCTGGTATTAAGTAAAACGTTGCCATCAGACAGATGGCAGGTGACACTCGTTTCCGTCAATATATGCCGGTAAATATATTAACTCGTATTGAAGCGTTTACGTCCCAATGGTTTCGTTTTCACGAAGTCCGTGAGACTAAATCTTGACCCTGACCAATTTGTGTTGAACGTAAATGAATTTTTCGAGAAAACGCGGACTAGGCTTTAGCCTCCCACCTGGATTTTCTCATTTAAAACAAACAGCAGTCAAAAGTCGACATTAGTATTTGCTTTCTTTTAGCTTGCCTTATTACAAAGGCTGTCAGCATCGAATCAATCGAATTACCAACGGAGGCATGAATTTTCAGAAGTATTTTGAAACTACAGCAGTCTCCAGAGATCCATATCGCTGAAATGAAAGAAAAACTGGATGTCCATTGGGTCGCCTCTTCTTTGGTTCAACGCCAGCGGTTTTTTGGCTTTTGTTTTGTTTGGCGGGAAGAATCTTGCCAAGGTGGCATAAGCATGACATGTCTTTAAAATCACCAGCGACTGATCTCACCCGGAGAGCAAAAGCAGCCAATTATTCTGTGTTAACAGTATTGGGGGCGTCTTATACTATGCCAAAAACACTGTCTATAAGTTGGCTGGCCTTGTTCTATCTCTCTCGTTTGCGCCTTTTAGACCTTTATATCCGTTATATGTATCAATTTTAATGTAGAATCGCATAATTGAGTAAAATCTGGCATTCTGATTGGTTAACGAAGCGAGGTATTTAGTGTGGAATTGCGAGTTGAAAACGAGGCTAAGCGTTATCAGTTTTCGCGTGCAATTTAAAGTGGAATTCACGAGTTAGGTAATGAATTTTGCTATAATATACAACATGGTAGCCGGTCAACATGACCGCCCACATAGCAGATAAATCATCTCAACCATCTCAACCCCCACGCCCCCCCCTTCCCCCCCCCTTCCCCCCCAAAAAAAAAACATTAAAAGCCGGAAAACGAATCAGGTTTTTTTTTTTTCAAGCCTCGACAAAGGTCAAAATTGGAAAAAACCAAACCGCATGATGTTAAAAATTATACAAGCACCATAAGATGTCCTCCTTACAAAGAATATTGACGAAGCCATTTTTAATTTGAAGTGCTCACTCTGTGACCTTATTTTACCCTATAGAAAAATTCAAAACTAAGTGGGCAGTGTTGGCTAGTGTTGCCAGGTTATTTTGGACACCTAAGAGCCCACCGTTTAGATTACCAGCCGGTCAGTCACATACGATAAAAACTGTTTTGTGGAGAGCAAGAAAAGGAATAGAAAAAGTTGATCAAACAGCTTGCATTAAATACAATGCTTAATTGCGTTTGTACTCTATTGTGATGCGTTTGTGGTGAAATTCTAAACCTAAATCCGCCCATGTTATTTATCTGATTTTCTGAATCTTTATGAGTCATTTTTAAGAGATTTAATTAATCTGATAGAAGACGTAAATAGGATGCGGTAGTTAAGCCTCCAATTTTAAATTATTATTTAAAATTATTAACTCTTCTGTTGCCTCCTATATAAAGGGTGTCCTAAAAGTTCGTTCCTCTACTTTACAAGTCTGTACTTGTTGTGCCATCTTTTGACTCGAATATTCGATTTGTTTGCTTTCGCGCCAAAGGCGCGCGAGTAAATTTTCCCGCCATATATTCTGTGTTTTTCGAATTGCTCGAACTCCTTTTTTGTGTTTTGTTAATATCTTGAAAGATAAACCCTCACAACGAAAACACACTCAGCTACGTGAGAACATAAGCATGTATACTTCGATCTACTGGCTTATCAGTTAAAGAAATTACTGGGTGGTAAGATGGTCATCGAGAAGTGAAGGTTTTAAAGACAAGAAATGAGGGGGAAGACCGAAAGTCCTGAATAAAACTGCTCATTAAAGAAGGCTAGGTGCAAAAGAGGAAACCCGGCGAGGTCGCTCTTACAACCGTGAGCAAGGTAAGTCTGGAGCAGGTTCATGAAAAGCAAAGTTTGGAGGCCCCTGAGATGGCCGAAAAAAAAAAAACCTTGACTCAGTCCGCCAAGCAACCTTCAGCTCGTCTCAAATTTGTAAAGAAGTGCAAAAGCCTTACAGCGGAAAGGGGCCTGGATGATTATCTTTTTTTGGATCAATGCCCAAAATATTTATTTAAATTATATTGTTTTTGTATTTATTATTATTATTATATTGTTTTGGGGGGTCGAAGTAGCTCCTGCATACCATGAGGTGATAAAAAAGCTTAAAATGAATCATCTGTGGCTCTACACGCTACATGACATATCGCACTCAATGCCACAACGGCTACAGAATGTGATAAAAAACAAATGGGGCATGCCGGTTACTGAAGTCCTGAATACATGTACCCGAAAGAGCAATAAACATCTTTTAAAAATTTCGTGTAAAAATAAAGTTTTGATCAAAAGTTTCAGCTTATGAAATTGGATAGGAACGAATTTTTGGGACACCCTGTATATTTACGACGCACCAGATAAGGTTTTTAACGCCGTTTGTGATCTGATTCAAATCCCTTCCCGACTCAGGTCTCAGAAAACCAGGTATATAGCAACTGATCATGATGACGCAAATATAACCTTCGGGTTCCCTGTGGTGTTTTGGGCTCCTGGGAAAATCCACTGGTTAAGAAGGAATCCAAGACAGTCTTGGATTCTGGATTGCGCGCCGTGGATTCCGGATTCCAGATACTTTGTCAGTGGATTCTGGGTTCCAATCGTTAGTGGGATTCGGGATTCCTTTCGGTGTATTCCGGAATCAAAAGCCCAATATTCTGGATACCACAAGTACAAGTATCCCGGATTCCGAATTTCCCAAGCAAAACTTCCCGGATTCCGGAATACCTATTCCCTTACATGGGGCGAAGGGAATTCCTCCAGTCCAATCCACTCATAAATTCAAGACTACTCTTTAATCGAACTGACGAACCTATGGAAATGATCCGAAACATTCAAGGGGCATAAACCGTCTGACACTGTATTGAGTATGGTTGATCACAGGTATACTTTATATCTGAAATGACGTTGCATTTCCCAACGCGGGTATATCATTATAATTTTAAATGGCAGCCATTTTGGTTTGGTTACTGATTAGTGACCTTACAATTACTCAGTGCAAAATAAGGTCAAAATCAGCCAGTATTTATTGCGCAAAAGCCATTTTTCTTTCACTTCAAAAGTAAATCATTTCAATAGGACGACTGACGTCATTTTGTATATACATCAGAATCCCTCAGTTGGTTGTTTTCTTGTGAAAATTAGGGCTATTGTCTTTTAACCCTCATTAGAATTGACAAATTTAAAGAAAAAAGCAAAAACGAGATAAATTCTGGTAGTTGTTGCCAATTATCGTCTTCGTAAAAAAGGCCCATTGAAGAGAGTTACGTCAAGGAGAATGACGTCACACCAGTGCACCATTTTTAATTCAGAGAAGAAATCTTTGTCCTTGTGTCAGACTAATTGATTGTATTAAGAGAACAAAGAAATACATGTAGTTTCCTGGTAACTAGAGTCAAGAGAGAATATAGTTGTCTCTATAAGGGCATTCTATTGCTATGAACAGTTCTTAATATCGAGATTGGAAATGTTCTCGGATAAATGTCGGGACAAGAAAAGCCATTTTTATTAAGGTGTCATGATTCCTTTAACCAACGCCTCCCTAATTTCTGTAGTTTAAATTTCTTGGTCATCTTCTGCTGCATTCCGACCAGAAATCATAATCATTTGACTCGTAGAGAATGCCAGTTATGACTCTTAATGAAACTACATAAGGTTGCTTCTAAAAATGCGCGTTCTAAGATAACAAAAAAAAATTAATATTTCATAAATTGTACGAACTCACTTCGAGAGGAGTCTGAAAAAATATAAAATATAGTAGAGGAAGAAACTGGTTATTATTAAAGTAAAATTTCTCTTTATATGTATGAAACATATTTTCCATATTCTGAAATGATACAAAGCCTAATGGAGTTGATATTTTAAAATAAAGGCCTCATAGAATTCGAAGATTTTAGAATCGTAAGCTTTTGACAAACTGATGTATCAAAAAAAGAAAAAAATCGTTTAGGCGAGCAAATTCAAGTGACCAAATTTTGTCCACATTATTTTGGTACAGTAAAGGGTGAATCAGTGCGAAGGTCTTTTAACTAGTTTCAGAGTGAAAAACTGTAAGATATTTCGTTTAGTATTAATTAAGTACATACAAGGCCCATACAAGGCAAACAAACTATACCAGATCTATACTAAAAAAATGTACATCGGTTCTAAAAAAATCTCATGACATGTAAATTCTCAACTTTTGCCTATATCTGGCAAACTTTAACAACAACTTAAGAAACTAATATTAATGCAACGAATTTGTCATTAATCAAATGGAAGGTCGCTTTGACTAAATTATTGGGTTAATAATGATAATAATAATAATAGTAATAATAATGATAAAAGAGATACAAGCATATAAAACTAAGGATCAAACTGCGCACAATATTCCCAAGCAAAACAACTTTGGTTCCAACAACTATTAATAGCATATCCACACGCAAATCGGAAACAGGGTAATTCAGCAAGAAAGTGTATTTTTAATGAGACATTTGTTTAATTATAGAACTTCCTCATTTGGTCGCTTCTTTAAAAATCGATTTAAAGTTTTAACAGCGAGGTATTCTAAGATTATTCTTGCAAAAGCTAGCGGTACTTCCTTGATCAAATTACTAAAAAAACGAAGGCTTCTTCGTTCTTCTAGAGAAACTTTTCCAGTTCTTTTTTTCTCGATCTTTAATTGAATTCCTTAAACTTTAAGCAATTGAATATATAAGCGAAATATCAACACAAGATTTAAATTATTTCTTAAAATTATGTGCATTTTACTGTCTTCTGAGTGAGTACAATGTTAAACTTGTGACTCGTTTCTTCGAGTGTCTCTCCTGTCACTGCCTATCACAGAATCCGGTGTTACTTTCCTGACTCTCCACCAACACATCAAATTGTAGAATTCCTCTCTGAAAACACGATTTGTTGTGGCGTATATAAAAGGGTTTATTGTGCTACTAAGAAATAAGAAAAATATAACTAGTAACTGTATTAGTCTGGGAGCTGTGTTTGGAAAGAATCGCTTCCAAAATATAAATGTCCACATGGGTATCCAGCAAACCAGGAACCCAGCCGCTACATAAAACAAAACTCTACTAACACTTATTTCTTGTACCGAGATTCTCGCTATCTCTGTTTGATTCGTGTTTTGCAAAGTTGGCGCCACGTCCAGTTTATGTTGACGAATTTTGTCAAACACTTTGTAATAACTGACACAACCAGCGAGGAACGGTAGAGCAAAAAAGAAGATGAATACAAGGCAGTAATGAATATTTCTGTTGCCTGATTTGGTGAAGGCAACGCTACAGACTGCGTACCCAGGAATGAACTGAAACTTTAGCCAGCCTGTGACTCGAGCAACGAACAGATAACTGGCGAGAAAGAGCCACACGGAACAAATCCAAATCTTCGTTTTCCGCGATGAAAAGACCTTGTTGTATTGTTTGCTTTTCACAACACGCATGTACCTGTTGAAAGCTGTCAGGCCCATAGTCGCTGGTGTTACGTACGTAACGAACGCATCCACAAAACCGTCAATTTCGCATAATGGAACGCCGAAATCCCATTTCCCCAGAATAAGTACGGCAGACGCCAAAGGCATTTCCAATGTAGCACACAACAGATCGCTGACTGCTAAAGCGATGATGTACATATTGATGGTTGATCTGAGTTTTGGATTTTTATACACTGCTAAACAAACCAGAGCATTTCCCAAGAAACTTATGATGTTCAAGAGAAGACAGACACTTGCTTCGATAATTACAATGATTAAGCCACGGTTTGGCAATTCCAGCGAGGACATCTCCGTTAGCAGTGTGTGGAATAGATCTATATCAAGTTACGTTCGGCGCTGAAGGTTTTCTCATATCAGAATAAAATTCACTTCCTGATTGTTTTTAAACTGATTTACAATGCAGATATTATTTAGTCTCCTACCGTACGTCAGAATATGAATGGAGTATTTTTGTTTGACTTACATTATCCACCTACAGCTTTATTTACCCTTTTCAAGTGGCAACAAATGGCATCAACAAAATAATTCCCAAGAATATGAACTTCTAATATAGAATTTTTCATTGATCTTCAGTTACTAGTGTATTGCCAGATAGCTTGTTAAACATGTTATTATTCGCTCTATCAATTCTCAAACCTCCCTTATATTTTTTGTACAAACTAAAAGGTCTTCTTTCTCTTGCCTTTTATTAACAGGTGATTTCGTTGGCCCTCATGCATGTTTACATCAGATCGACGAGCAAATTTTGCCACCAAGCTTCGAATTGAAATCATAAAATTGCAAGGTTTTGCATAAATGAATTCCAAGGCAGCAGAATTGAAAAGAATACCCACGAACAAAGAGAACAAATGCGAAGAATTTTTTTTACAAACGAGACTTGGTGGACAGGTGAAATTTGCTCGTCTGACGTAATTAATCATGCATAAAGCCACTGTTTCGGCCCTTGCAACAGATATACTAATGAACATAGACCTATTCGGCTAACGCAATGTTGTACCCAATTCAGATCTCTCTGGGTAAAGATTCTTTGTGCACTGTATTTGCATTATAAGGTGGCATTCACATTTAAATAATATGGAAATTCCTGAAACAAAACATTTTATTCCCAAAGGGTTTGAATTGGGTACAACATTGAGTTAGCCGAATTGGTCTATTGTTAAGGGATCTCATCAGTGAAATGATGCGATGCTAATTATATTTTCAGTTGAATTCCCTTCTTTATTTGTGATGATTCAAGGTGGAACGGATCATAGATAGGAGAGGAGACTGGTTAAGAAAGCCGGAAAACTCCAAAGTTGAAAACAACGGTCTTGTAGTTTATGTTGGAAGTTCCCTGACCGTGCAGAATCCCGTGTGCCTTCGTTCACAAATTGTGACTGAATAAATTAATGCGATGTTTCTATCGGTCAGTAAGTTCAAAATGGTAGGAATGCCATTAAACGTTGTGCACGGTCAGGTCCGAAAAAGCTAACTAAAACATATAACGAAGGAGTCTAGCGGGTGCATTACCATTCCACTTTAATAAGTATGACCGATGGATCAACTTTCACAAAAGCACGTAATATGATATAGATAGAATACCTAATCAATCTATGTTTTATATTTTCTGACCCTGATTGTACGAATTGTTTTGCTCTGCATTTCCGAGGTTTACCTCCTTGAACACCGAGAAGAACAAATTCCTATTTCGATTTTTTTTAATCCCCTTTTTTTTGTTTAAATAGACGGAATGATACATCATTATTTTTCTATAAAGGCCTTCCTCTTTGATGTCATCACTGACTGACAAATTTAGGCAAAAAACAAACAAACAAAGGAAGATTAAACAAAACATCAGATATGTACTGGCATATCATTGGGGCAGTGTAAAATGCACACTGCGCACTGACTGCGGACTATTGTTTTTAGGGTTAGAAAACAATGGGACTATTGTTGTCACGTTTTCATTTGCAAGGGGAAAACAATAAGTCCAATTTTACACTGACCCGCCATGATTCTTCTGGTGAAACCGCCACGGCCAAATTTTTAGAAGAAAATCGAAACACTGGTTATAATACTATGGCCTTAAACGAGCTCGTGCTCACCTGAAAGGTAAACAGTTGAACATTTTTACGAGCGCTTCAAAAGTAGGCTAATTAACATTGGAAAAATACGTGACGTTTGTAACAGGTGTATAACTAATAAAAGTAATAAATTTTCAGCGCTTTGTTATTTTTTGGAGCAATATTTGTTGAAACTGTGTTAAACAGAGTTGAAGAGATGTCAGACCATATACAGCTACATACATGCCCATCAATTTGGCTTCAAATACAATCTGATATATATGTTGTACCTTATTTTTTTATCCCAGGTAATTTTTGTTTCTTGTTTTGATTTTCGGGTATGGTAATGTACGCTAATAAAGTTGAAACAAAGAAAAAGTAAATCAGTTTAAATCAGTTTTTCAACGATTAGCTTGTACGCTTGACTGGGAGGTGGTGGGTTCGATTCCTGGAACCGGACCGATACTCAGGGTCTTAAAATAGGCACTGCCTTTTCCCTGCAAACGGCCTGACCTTCGCGTGGCTCGAATACCCATGTAAAATGTCGGTTCCGTCTCTAGTAGGAGATGTAAAAATAGTGTCCTCAATTAGTACTTTTGCTAATTAAAAAATACATGGACCCGACTCGAATAAAGTGCCTTTTTGTACAATTTTTTTTATTTCCCTTACATTATTATTTTTAGTCATTATAGTTGTAACGTTAAAGCTAATCGTAAGGACAAAAATATTGAGTATTGTCACCATGTCACTTCCTTTTTTGCTACCTTCGTTTTTACCGTCACTCATCATTATTGCATAAAAATGTTCTCTATCAACGAAATCTTAGGGTATTAAAAATAAAAAACAAACGCAGTTTTTAAAAATTCCATATTTTTTAATCGGAATTTTTTAAGTGAAAAAGAGAATATCAGCATAATGATGTGCATGAAAAGTTAAGTGATGATCGGTTACTATGGTTACGAGATATGACGTCATAAGTAGTAAGCGGTCAAGCCATTTTTGAGTGAAAATGCACATTTTTTCGCCTTGTTTCTAAAATAAAAGTAAAGTTTCTGGATATATTATAAAGCAAACTACTTATTTGTTTGTTGTGTTACATGTCAAGAACGAAAAAAAATACCAATTCTCTCCGTTTTTAGCCTGATTTCTAATTCTTGGTTAAATCCAAGATAGCGGCCAAGTTGGCGGCCAAGACGTTGACCGTGTTTGGTGACGTCACAGGCCGCCAGCAGGGCCGTAGCAATTAAATATACCTCATCTTGTCGAGAGATTTCCACTGCTGGTAAAATCTTTTCGAAATACAGCAACATGTCAAAAAGTCGCGGGACGGGTTCCATCAACCCCCCCCTCCACCCCTTGAAATACGCTGGGGGTGGGGCGTTAAGTGAATGTTACGTTCTTGAACATATTAGCAATGTCCCCATTGGATAAATACTTCAGAGCATGGCCCCATTTTGTGTGGCACCACCTATTTCTCTTGCTCCCCTCCCCTTTTCATGCCTGCAACGCAGATGCAAGCTGGTAGTGGTGACGCACAATCCAAGGTTATAAATAACCGTTATTAATGGGCAATAATTTGGGGCGTGGAAAGGGAAATGCAATCAACTCTGGTGTTAAGTTGTAGCAAGAGACTATAAAGGGGACAGAGAGGGCATCCCCCATATACACCCTATTCCATAGATAATTCGTCTCGAGTTATTTTTAGAATCGGGATAAAGTTACCTCGCGCGAGGCGTGGATGTTTCGTGGAGGTTTCGCATGACCAAACGCCATGCAAAACATGTCGGGCGAGAGGCAATGAAAGCGTTTGCTGAATATTGAAGCGAAATGAGTCGGCGCTCACCTGGGAAAAAGGAATCGCTGGAATCTTTGACAACCCGTGAAATTAGTTTAACTCGAAGTTGTCGTAACCTCAGTGCTTTAATAAAATGAGAAATTTCGCTGGTCTATTGAAACCGGTCGTTTGTACAATTTAGGGAGTTTAAGATCCAAAGACGTGGATGACAACTAGAACGTCAAAAAAACAATAGGTTTAATTAGCAAAACAACAACTTCGCACGTGCAACA